CGCACACGCACACATGCTCTCTCTCTCTCTCACTCACTCACACACACACACACACACACGGACTCTCTCTCTCTCTCTCTCTCTCTCTCTCTCTCTGACGTATGCCCATGTGAATACTATGCCTTGCTCAACTTCTGTTTGATCTCCAAAAGACATGATGAAGAGGCCGGTTAACAAACAACAGGGAAGCGATGGTTGGATGATCCTTCCCATCTGTCCACCTAGTGCTACCTGAGCCCAGATGAGTATGTGCCCCACTTGCACACCTGCCTGCCTGCCCATCGGTTCACCTTGCCAGTTATCTGTTCGCCTTGTCTGCCAATATGCCACAAGTGTCTTTTCATTTTCTCTGCTCCCTCTCTAGCTTCTCAGTCCCTAACATCTGCCTTTTGGATGACGGAACCTCATCTGCTTTGGGCCAACCGGTGAGTGTAGATAGGTGCATAATGGTCACCAAAATCTTTTTTTATTTTATTTTAATGATCGCCTCAATCTGATGGTTACATGCCTTCAAAATTATGGCTTAGTCATTTCACAGGAGATCTGCTCAGAGTTAAAGATTTTTGCTTCACGGCAACCAGGATAGATCAATATCTGTAGATAAGCACAGACGTCGTGCCAACAGAGTTGAAGATTTACACAACTTCAGGTTCGAACGAGGTCTGTGTTTCACACTGACACCTATATCAGGCTATATGTGCGTATTGTGGGCCTGGATTTTGGGATGAAGGTACTAGGGGGACTGCATTATTGCGTACATAACGGTACATCACTTTCAGGCTCTATGCAGATAGAAAATAGGCCAGTCACAGTGTTGGCTTAGTGCAGGGACCGTTTTTGACTAAGGAATAGGGTAGTCACAGGGCTGACTTAGTACATAGGGCCATTTTTGGGCCAAGTAAAATATGCTCGTCACAATGCCGGATTAGTATAGGGGCGACTCTTGGGCTAGGGAATAGGCTAGTTGCAGTGCTGACTGACTACAGGGGACCATTTTTGTGATGCAACCCTCGGCGTACATAGAGGAAGGGAATTGTAGTTGAGCATAATATAGCTGCAATCAAGGTCCTGTGCTAAGTGGATGGGTTGCACCGAACTTCAAGGAGAGCAAATAAGAAGCAGGATTTTCACTCTGAACAGGGCAAGTTTATTAAGAACTAGTATGCTCCAACGTCCTCTAGAGGTGCCTGGAAACTATGGGAGCGTTAGTACAAAAAACAACAGAGACAAATGCTTACTTCTTTTTGTTCTCTGCATCCTGCAGAACAATGAGGGTTAACTCAGTTTAAGCCTGGGCCATTGGGACGTTTAGCCTTGAATGCCACCCTTCAGTGGTGCCTCTCTTGCGCCCCTCAACGCCCCAGCAGAACGAATGCAAAGTGGTCCTTCCAGGGCTATGGAGTCTAAATCCATGTGTGTGTGTGTGTGTGTGTGTGTGTGTGTGTGTGTGTGTGCGCGCGCACGCGAGAGAGAGAGAGAGAGAGAGAGAGAGAGAGAGAGAGAGAGAGAGAGAGAGAGAGAGAGAGAGAGAGAGAGAGAGAGAGAGAGAGAGAGAGAGAGAGAGAGAGAGGAGTGCACCATTGATGTTCATGCAAGTGACAATAATAATAACCTTTTTTTTTTCTTTTTTTTTCTTTTTTTTTTTATAAATAAAATAGGGCCTTCTGGTCCTAGCTTCTTCTATTCTGGGGAGCATCAGTCCGGTTCCTATTCCACCGGCAAGTCATGACATACATTACATTAGGGAAGACGCACGCTTCCTTCCGTCTGGCCGAAGGACCCCTGAGCAGCATTGATTGCTCCACCTTGGTGGAGGATTAATAACCTGAAGAGAAAAAAATTGTGTATTGAAGATGCTGACCTTGCACTTGGTTGGGTGAGGAGAGGGTGGCGCAGCTGGGGAGGGAGTGGGGCTTGAAGGCGGGTGCAGGCAGCATAACTCTGTATAGGATCAGTTCAGGGGTTTATTCATCATTCCATCTGTTTGGGGCCTAGGTTTTAGCTGTTTCGTTCCTCAAGATCAAGCACCCAACCACCCTAGGATCGACAGTGGCGAACCCCCCCCCCCCAACCCCTTATCCAGTGCCACTGTTCCCGATATTTTCTTCTGCTCTGAACTAAAGATTTTATTCTTTCAGGCCGCCACAACCTGCAGAGGAACCTCGAGGAACTAATAGACAGCATCCCAATAGCCTGGAGAGCAGCGCTAAAAAAGAAGAGAGCCTGGAAGAAGGGAGACTGGGCAACCCTGAAGATTCAGAGTAATCCCTCGGTGGCGCTACGCTTCATAAAGTACTCAGAACCAGATAAGAGTACAGCACTCTTTGACGTACACAAATCGGGGAACAGAAACAAATCATGCAGAAAGGACATACGAACAGCGCTGGAATTCAACATTAGGGACATACATAAAGTTAGAGAACTAGAAAACGAACAAAGAAGGCCCAAGAAGGGGAGAGGAAGGGCGGATGGCCCCATTTGGCTGTTCATACCTAACAAGGACATCACAGAACTAGAAGTAGACCCCAATGAATGGGGATGGTACGAAAGGAGAGGACGGGGCAGAGCCCAAAAATGGACCACATTATACGAATACACAGTCAAAAAAGGTTACAACATTAGGTGCAAGGCAGAGAATCCACAGCCCACCATAGCGGCAAGATGGGAAAAGAATCTGCAAATGGATCCCGTCTCCCTTAAGACAATCCCGTGGACTTCTTACGCCTCCATTAAACCTCAACGAACAAGGAGCCTCAAATGGTTAATCATCTATCTAGCAGTCCCTGTCAACGCGTGGTTGGACACAAGGCGAAGAGAGGAGGACAGATCGGAAACTTCAGCACAGTGCCAGATGTGTCAGGAACAAGAAAGAGAGACGCTAACGCACTGCTTTTTGCACTGCCAACACGCCAAATCCCTCTGGGACAAGTGCAAAGGGGCATGGGCCAAACTATCGCCCAACGAATATCCCACTGATGAACTCTTCCTCTTGACAGCAATCGACAACGAAGGCCTAGTCCCTGAGGAAGACCGGGAGATCATAGAGCTGCTGTGAATAACAACCCTGTGGGTAATCTGGAGAGCTGCTGCTAGATGATGGGGCACAATTGGCAAGAAGAAGATGTCAACAAACAAATCCTGGGAAGAAGCGAAAGAATTGGTGGAAACAGGAGACAGAGCGGAATGGAAACAAACATTGAGCAAGATGGAGAAGGAAGGGGAAGTGCAGAAAAAGACCAAACTGCAGAAAGAATTTGAGAAGACATGGCTAAAGGGAGGATTATTGGCACGAGTATCCGGAAAAACCCTCCATTTCACAGGCTGGTGGGATCCAGCCACACCAACGACAGAAGAGGACGGAGAAACACTGATGGAACTGGAGTGATCAAGAAGGGATATTCTGCCCCATCCAACCCTAACAGGGAAACACGACGGGCAGATAGTTTAGGGTTTAAGGTCCCTAAGAGAATGACAAACTCACACCTAGAATGCACCCTCTAAGGTTCAGGATTTAAGCAGAAGATAGGATGGAGGCAAGAAGAGATCATAGGACAAAACCCGTAAGGAAAAAAGAACCAGAAATCAAAATAGGGAACAACCAACTACTGTAACAGGGAACCAATAGAAAGAAAGAGAACAAAGTTATGGGTTTAAGGAAGCAAAAAAGAAAAGGCCTCCCAACAATAGGACGCACAGCTAGCTAACCCAAACGACTACTCAACTACCAGAGAACAGAAGCAGTCTCAAACACAATAGAGCCAAACATCAAGAGGTAATCCATAGGGCGACAGGAAAAGACAGCTAGGGTAATAAGCTCGGGATTTAGAAACTAAGGGGAGGAAATCCAAGGCCATAAGAGCCAAAAACAATCAGGTCAACCCCACCAACGTAACACAGAATGACCCTACCATCTGCCGGGAATAACAAAATGAACCACCAGAGCACCACTCTACCCCCCGTAGAATTTCTAAATGGCTATACCAGCAAGAACAGAGACGACCTACAAGGGTTGGGAGGGGAGCTAGGGTTTAGGAACTTTAGGGTCTTAGTAACGAACACACCTAATACAGCCCCACAGAGCACGGCCCATACAGATTTTCACCCTAGGAGGACACATCAGCAGTTTCAGCACTAGAGAGATCCAGAAACACGGACAGAGGTAGAGTGAGAGCAAGGGGTTAGGGTTTAGTGAGTAAGACATAGGCCTTAGAAACTATCTACAACTTCAGATTTACAGGAAATTTCAAAACATGAACCCTTAAGGTTTTATCTACTTAGCAAAACCAGCAGTTAATGAGTCTGGCCAGCAGCTTCAGCACGTAAACCTGATTCGACAGCCGAGCAGCTGCGAGGAGTAAGCTAGTCAAGATCTATGCAGATACGCCACAAACCACAAACCGAAGTGGCAAAAGCCAGCCTATCTACAGTGTCAGGTTCTGAGTCAAGCAGGCTAACTTAGACAGGGGTGAGGGGTGGTACATCCTTCCAAAAGGAAGTAATCAATGCCGTCCACTCGGGCCTCCCAATCATAATGGGGAGGAGCGTATGTGTATCCTTATTGTATTCATCATTGACTTGCCGGGGGATAGGAACCGGACTGTTGCTCCCCAGAATGGTAGGAGCCAGAACCATGCGGTTCTGTTTTTTTTTTTTTTTTTTAGTTTTCCTCTCGTATGAACTTGCAGATTGTTTTAAACCGCCAGTACATGGCCCCAGCCAACTTGAGAATCACGATGAGTCGCTCCAAAAAAATCAGAGGCTCAGGGCAACCGGACCAAAATGGCTGGTGGCGCCAGCCAAAAATAAAACACAGACGCGACGCTGGTGTTTCAGCAAAACTTGGCACGCAGTGGGATGTACTGGTGGTCTAAAGATGTATTACTCACTCCAGATATTCCTGTATAGGAGGATGCACGAGTACAAATCAGAGTACCATTTTCATTTTCTCTTGTTTCTTCTGCAACCCCTTTTTGTTGTAGCGTGAATTTTTTGCCCCTCATTTCTCTAGAGTTGCTTTGTTCAAAGGGTTCATGCATTCAAATGGTTACACAGGCTTTTTGAGTCCCCCCCTGCCCCCCTCCCCTTCCCTCTTGTTCTTCAAATTTCACCTCTTCTCAGACAACTTACTCGCAGATCCCGCAGGCTCATCTATATCTGCAACTGAGGCTCTTTGTTTCCCGACTCCCTTTCCATGTCCTGCTTTTAGTTGTGCAACCTTCGAACCCTTCAACTTGTCATCTATATGTGGACCCTTCAGTTCGTCACCCTTCTGTGAACCATTCAATTCGTGACCCCTTTTGGAACCCTTCAATTCCTCGCCCATCTTCGGACGACCCTTCACATCCTCGCCCCTCCGCGGAGGACCCTTCAACTCCTCGCCCCTATTCGAAGAACCCTTCAATTCCTCGCCCCTCTTCGGAGGACCCTTCAATGCCTCGCCCCTCTTCAGAAGACCCTTCAATTGCTCGCCCCTCTCCGGATCCTTCAATTCCTCACTCCTCTTCAACAAACCCTCCGGCTTGTCGTCTGACTCAATCTTCTTGCTGATGGGCCGGAACTTGCCCTCCGCCTCAGTCTTCCTGTTGGCCTGCAACTTGTCGTCCGCCTCAATCTTCTTGCTGCTGGTGCGGGCTCTTGTTCCTTTGGCATGGTGTATATCCTTATCATCACCCTTCAGGTGTGTTCTTTCTCCTGTGGCATGATGAAGTTTTTTGTCCTCATCATCCCCACCTCGATCCCGCTCTGGCGTCACCCCTGCAGTGAAATTTCCCACATGAAGCAGTCATGCTATGAGTAACCTAAAAGACAAAACTTTTCCTTTACCATTTCCCTTTTTTTTCAATGTATAACAATACAGTATGAGTAGGCTACCCACAGTGGGTTGATGGAACCTTCCCGCCTCTACCCCCCTCCCCCCCCCCCCCCCCCCCATCAGGTCCTGATTTCCTTACAAAATGACTCTGAAAACGGTCTGAATTGTTTGGTATCATCTCAACAATTGAGCATATGATACACCGTCCACATTCTCTCTCTTTTTTTCTTTTTTGAATTCCAATCCACATTCTCTAGTCTTTTGGATAAGAGCAAAAGTGCAGCTGCTGTTTCCATAACACTTGCGTCTAATCCTGAGGGTCATCAACAGAGACTATGTGTGTCCATGTTATGTGGTGCACTAAGTTCTGTTTGAGGACGAGGACGAGGGCGCAAACCTTGGGTGCGATCCCTTTGTTATTTGCTAACTTTTGTTTTGTAACCTTCCCCTTCCCCTCCTCCCCCCCCGCCAGTGGGGGGCCACAGAAAATGCTTTTCTGGCCTTTTCTCTGTTGATCCTCCTCCTCCTTCTCTCTCACCCTTCTTCATCCGCCGTTCTGGGTTATTTGTTGTAGACTTATCCTTTACTATGATCTTACCTGAATAAGACAGAGGATGAAAACACTGGCTGCAATCACTTGGTTGCTTAACTTTCATGCCACAAGCTTACTCTCCATCATTGCATGGCCCTTCTTTTCTCTCTTGGGGTCCTCCTTTCTCTTGCTTCTTTCTTCTTCTGATGTTTATTGCAAATCTGTACTCTCCTATGGAATGGTTCCTTTCACTGACATCATCAATGGGGAGAGGATGCAGCGATGCGCTTGCATAGCTTTTGTTGCTATTTGCCACCTTCACCATGTGGGTCAGCCGAACAGCAATCGTGTCCGAGTGGTGGCTGCCTTTCACACTTGTATACGTTCAGGCCAACCGTCCGATGTGTTGCATGCATCATGACTGAATTGCATGCAGATAAGGAACAGAAAGTAGCCTGAACCTGCAATGGTACATAGAAGTGTGATGAAAGACTGATTAACCTTTCGCAGAGATGCCCCATAGGTTTTACAAGCCCATATATGTGAATTACAAGTGGGCCTGTGGGGTGTGGGGCTTCTCCCGTATTAGGCTCTTCTCCCATCCTTTTCTCCCTGTGGGGCTTTCACGGAGGGATCACTTGTGGATGTGCTTAAGCATTCAACCGTTCAACGACATTGTTTCATCCACGCAAGTTATTGTGTTAGGAGGTTTAAGCAGATCATGCCATTCCTACTCTCTCTCTGCCATTCCTACTCTCTCTCTCTCTCTCTCTCTCTTTCTCTGTGTGTGTGTGTGTTATCTGCTGTAAGACTACAGAGTGTCAGACATGGAGGGGAGTGGAGGTGTGCCACCACGGTGGCTGTAATGCATTGCTAGGACCCTTGCGCTCCACGAATGATGGGCCATGTTAAGTCTCTTGTGTGTTTGTAAATACATTTTTTATAAGTCCGCACTGTCCAAGGATCGAACACGTGACCTCCCTATCCGGAGGCAAACACTCAACCAAACGGTAAAGTGGACCGGGGTGAAAGTTAAGCCCCAAGATGAGCACTTAACCCCACCCCAACACGGGTACTCGTTTTTCCCCGCGGTGTACCTGGTCACACACATGCACAATCGAAGTAGACAGCCACTACACAATGAAGACAAATTTGCACACCATCCGAAGCTAATGGCACCACCCGATTGCGCCCAAGCCACTGCAAAGTCGATCAAGTGGTTCTCTTGTGTGGCTTGTCATGTCCACTGGTGTAAGAGATTCTCCACAGAGTGGCTCTGTACTACACCTTTTTGGTGCAAATGGCTCTTCCAAGGTGCACAATCAGGTCGACATGTGGCTGTGTACTTCAAAGACAGTTTTTGGATGGCTGACAGATAAATGGATTGTTGAGCAACAGTGTTTCTGGATTAGTGACAGATCGCTTGCTGAGAATGTGAACAATGTTATATTGGGTTCCGGGGTGCCAGGTAGAATGTATTCTTGGGAGGGGCAATAGCAGATTGGGCTTGTCGTACTGTGATGCATTGAGGGAGAAGCCCTAGCGGGTGGCAGGGTAAAATCAAGGTGTAGGGAAAGGGACAGGCGGGTATGGGGGGCATTGCTCCAAGGATATCATTGGGGATGGGAGGTTATGCCAGGTAGAGTTTAGTCTTGGAAGGAGCAAGAGAAGATTGGGTTTGTCCTTTCTGATGCATTGAGGGAGACCATTGAATTTGGGGGTTGGTAGCACTTGTAGCGGTTGGCAGGGTAAGATCAAGGGGGGGGTGCCTACTGTTGAAGAGACTAGTCCACTGATTGACAATTTGAAACGACTCGCAGAACTGCCAGAACAAGTGTTCATTTATCAGCAACGCACACGAAGCACATGTATAGTGTCAAATGACTCCACATAGGTTACATATAGGTGCATATCATATCTGACTCGTCAAAGGGTGAGTATACAGAGGAGATGTACAGCTACAAAAACAAATTGTGTACTATACACATAGGTCATGATGGCTGCGCAGGGTGGGTGTCCCAGATTCGACCTTGGCAGGGCAGGGGACCCATTAGACACAGCTGGTGGTAGCTCGAGTGAAGGTGCTCTAGGTACTGTGCTGGGGAGCATCATGGGTTAGCTCATGGGGCAGGTATGCTAATGATCATCCCTGGTGTTCGATGTGCCTGTGCAACAAGGCTCCTCTGGTGTGGCTTCAACAAGGGGTGGGACAGTTGTCTGCCTAGCCCTGATGCCTGCACTTCTGTTCGCGGCCCGTAGAGTTGTGCTTATACCTAACTCATTTTCTTCATTGTTCATTATACCGGTCGTTCGTATGGGCCCAATGGTCGCTGGAAGGGTCGGCAGGCAGTCTTGGGGGACTGGGTAGTTGTTGTGTGGGAGGGACTGGTAGCTGCCCATGGTCCTGAAAATTTATGAAACGGCGTGCGGGCCCCAGGTCCTCGAAATTCAAATCTGAAACGGCACGTGCCCCTTCCTACAGCCCTTCCGCAGCCCGCCCTCTTCGGCCTAGTCGGCCTTCTCACTGTGCTGCATCATTGTGTCCAAATTTGGACGTATTTCCGTGCCAGATTCAGAAACGGACTTGCTCTCTCTCTCTCTCTCTCTCTCTCTCTCTCTCTCTCTCTCTCTCTCTCTCTCTCTCTCTCTCTCTC